TCTGTGTCTCTAACTCTCTCTGTAACTCTGTCTTTCAAATACATAAAAACAAATCTTTAAAATAAAAAAAATACATTTATTTATAATGGAAGGAGGGAAAGAGACAGAGACAGAGAAGAGATGTCTCACATCCACTGGCTCACTACCCAAATACCCAAACACTTGCAGTAGCTGGCGCTGGGCTGGGCCGAAGCCAGGGAGCAGGAACTCAATCCAGGTCTCCTACATGGATGGCAGGGATTCAACCACATGAGCCATCACCTGCTTCCTCCCAGGGTCTGTATAAGCAGGAACTGGGAGCAGATCCAGGACTCAAACCCAAGCACTTGATATGGAATGTGGGTGTCTCAAGCAGTGTCGTAAGCATTGCTACAAATGCCCACTCCAGTCTGAACTCTGCAACGTGCCTTAAAGGGCATGATGCTCTTGGCTGTGTTCTCTCCCACCTTCTGACTGCTAGACCCCATCTCTCTCCTTGTACTGTCCATGTACTCCAGTCTTCCTGAACTTCTTCCCCTTCCCAACTCCTGGAAGAGCATCACTCTCTCTCTCACCTCTTGCTGTTGAGTGGCTGATTCTTTGTCTGAACACTCTTCCTCCTTCTCTTTCCCTGATTTATTTCTGTTCATCTGTGAAGGCTTCAGGGGTCTCCTTGCCTTGATATCTGTGTTCAGTGTGGCTGCCACTTACGGTGGCTAGGCTCTGTTCTGAGTTATTTATTTATTTATTTATTCAAATGGCTGCCATGGCCAGTGCTGTGCTGATCCGAAGCCAGGAGCCAGGTGCTTCTTCCTGGTCTCCCATGCGGGTGCAGTGGCCCAAGCACTTGGGCCATCCTCTACTGCCCTCCCAGGCTACAGAAGAGAACTGGACCGGAAGAGGAGCAACCAGGACTAGAACCCGGCGTCCATATGGGATGCCGGTGCCGCGGGTGGAGGATTAACCAAATGAGCCACAGCGCCGGCCCCTGAGCATTTTATTACTTGTTATTTTTATTTTTAAGATTTTTAAAATTTTTTTTAATTTTTAATTTTTTTTGACAGGCAGAGTTAGTGAGAAAGAGAGAGACAGAGAGAAAGGTCTTCTTTCTGTTGGTTCACCCCCAAAATGGCCGCTATGGCTGGCGCGATGCACCGATCCAAAGCCAGGAGCCAGATGCTTCCTTCTGGTCTCCCATGCAGGTGCAGGGCCCAAGGACTTGGACCATCCTCCACTGACCTCCCAGGCCACAGCAGAGAGCTGGACTGGAAGAGGAGCAACTGGGACAGAATCCGGTGCCTCAACTGGGACTAGAACCTGGGGTGCCGGTGCCGCAGGCGGAGAATTAGCCAAGTGAGCTGCGGTGCTGGCCTTATTTGTTATTTTTAAAATTTTTCCCAAAGATAGCTGGCACCGCGGCTCAATAGGCTAATCCTCCACCTGCGGCTCCGGCACACCGGGTTCTAGTCCCAGTCGGGGCGCCGGATTCTGTCCCGATTGCTCCTCTTCCTGTCTAGCTCTCTGCTGTGGCCCGGGAGTGCAATGGAGGATGGCCCAAGTCCTTGGGCCCTGCACTTGCATGGAAGACCAGGAGAAGCACCTGGCTCCTGGCTTCGGATCAGCGCGGTGCCCGCTGCAGCATGCCAGCCGCAGCGGCCACTGAGGGGTGAACCAATGGAAGAAGAAAGACCTTCCTCTCTGTCTTTCTCTCACTGTCCACTCTGCCTGTCAAAAAAAAAATTTTTTTTCCCAAAGAGAACTTTTATTTAAGGAATACAGACTTCATGCATTTCATAAGTATAATTTCAGGAATATAATGATTTTTCCCACAATACTCGCCCTCCCACCCACACTCTCACCCCTCCCCCTCTTCCCTATTCCATTCCCAGTCCCATTCTCCATTATGATTCATTTTCAATTAACTTTATACACAGAAGACCAACTCTTTACTAAGTAGAGTTCAACAATTTGCATGAAAAAATAGAAAACCAAACTTTCTCAATAGTAGAGACAAGGGCTGTTCAAAGTTATTGCATCTTGAAGTTAATTTCACTTTTTTTTGAGAAAATTATTTAAGTAATTAATTTATTTTTTAAGATTCATTTTATTTATTTGAAAGGCGGAGCTAGAGAGAGAGAGAGAGAGAGAGAAGTCTTCCATTCTACTGGTTCACTCCTCAGATGACTGCTATGGCCAGAGCTGAGCTGATCTGAAGCCAAGAGCCAGGAGCTTCTTCCAGGTCTCCTGGGCCATCTTCCACTGCTCTCCCAGGCCATAGCAGAGAGCTAGATCAGAAGAGGAGCAGCTGGGACTCAAACCAGCGCCCGGATGGGATGCCAACACTATAGGCTGGGGCTTTAACCCACTGCGCCACAGACCAGTCCCAATTAATTAATTTTAAAGAAGCACCCAAGAATGATACATCTTTTGAGAGCAATGAGACATAGGTATGAGACATAAGACCTCCATTTAATACATTAAAAGAAAATAAGTCCTTGAGAATAAATTTTATTATTAATTAAGGAAGCAACTAAGAAAACAAGCAATGGAGTTGGACACTTAAGCATAACTAAAACATATGAGACATAAGAATATCCTCTACTTAATACACTAAAATAAAATAAATCTTTGAGAACAAGTTTTACTGTTAACTCTCATAAAACAACTCTTTGAGGACAGAGGTCCTGCATGGGAAGTTAGTGCACAGTGACTCCTGTTGTTAACAATTAACACTTTTATATTTGACTTCAGTGATCACCCAAGGCTCCTGACATGAACTGCCTAGGCTATGGAAGTCTTTTGAATCCACAAACTCTGTCAGTATTTAGACAAAACCATCAGCAAAGTAGAAATTTCTCCTCCCTTCAGAGAAAAGTACCTCTTTCTTTGATGACCAATTCTTTCCACTGGGATCTCACCAACCAAAGTGCTTCATGTAGGGCATATTTTGCCACAGTGTCATGGCTTTCCATGCCTGAAATGCTCTGAGCATTTTAAATGTGAGAATGCATTTAATTTTGCAAACCTCTACAAGCTAGGCATAATTATTATTTCCATTTAGCAGATGAGGCAGTTAAAGAACAAAGTGTTTCCATCATAGTTCACCAGTGGAAATTTGTCACAGGGCTCTGACTACAGGGTATTGCAAGAACAGAAAAGGCAAATGGTGGGTGCAAGGCAATCTAGAGATTAGTATCCACAGGAAGCAGCTGCTGCAGGTTACAGGGAGAAGGTGGTGTCACCAGAACGGAGGTGCTGGGTCTGTGTACAGGAGCTGTGACCCCTACCAGAGTAGCTACTACAGAGAGGGAGTGAAGCACCCTTGCCATTTCTCTCCTCCTACCCACTGAGATCCACCACTGTTGCCCATTGGCTGAACTAACCAGATGCTTTGACAGAGAACCTGGGAAAAGTCATTTGCAGAGGTTCTAGAAAGAATGCAGAATGGATTAAGAGCAAAGAGGCAGGAGAGAGACTCAGAAGGTATCTAATTTGCCCAAGGTCATACAGCTTCTAAATGGCAGGACCCCAGTAGCTTGGCCCCAGTAAGTGTGTCTTTAGCCACTGTTACATGCTTCTTCTCAGAGAACCTGGGGCAAGGCACTGAATCCTTGTACCTCCAGAGACGTGAACGGGCCATGTAAAAGGCAAAGTGAGTTAGAATACATCATATACTTTTTTTTGGTGCCTGGACTATCACAAGCACAGTGAATCTTGGTGACTATTACAGAGATAAGGATCCTAGCAGAAGGCAGCGGATTGGGGGTGGGTGCCATGCTCAGTGCTGTTCTAAGCTTTTTCTCTGGAAGGTAGTTGTTTATGTTTTCCAGATAATAAAACTGAAGCCGCAAGAGTTTGGCTTTCCCATGGTGTCACAGCGGAAGGGGAAGTGGGACTCAGAATTGGGCTCCAGTGCCAGTGTGCTGGCAGCCATGTTGAAATTCTTGTGTGACAGATTGTCTTTCTGCTAAACTAGATTCTCAGGGGGATACAACCTGTATTTTTTTTTCTCATTTTTTTGGCATTGGTTCCTTAGTGCTTGCTCAGTACCTGGTACCTGGAAGGTACTCACAGCATATTTGCTACATGAATTTTTCAATGGCCAGGTGATTTGTAGCTGCCTGTGGAGAGCAGATGTTCCCCCAATTTTTTCTGGCCTGCTTGGTAGACAGTGAAATTTTGAGCCAGGAGCTGTAGGCCCAGTCTCTCCTCAGGAGCTGATTCAAGGCCATCTCTACAATGCATGCCTGGATGTTCCAGCTCTGCCGTGTCATCAGCTGTGCCGTGTCTCTCCAAGGCCTCCTCTTCGTAGAGGCAGTCTATTTCCTGCTTTCTTGGAGTGATCAGTTCTGAACACGGCAAGCAGGATAGCAGTCAGAGTGGGAACACTGCAGTAGGAAGATGGAAGGGGAAATGAAATGGGGTGGAAGGTCACCATTGGGAGGTTCTCAAGGGCACTAAAAGGTCATAATTTGAAAATGAGTATACGGAGATATCATGAGACTGAGAATTATATGTTGCTGAATCAAATGATTCTGTTTGCATCATGGAAATCAACTTGGGTTACGAAGTGACAGCAGATCCCGTTTCTCTGCCTCTGTTTCCCCACATAAGGAACAAAGCAAAGCTCAGTTTCGCTGATTGTTGGAAAGGCTCATCCTAATTGTTAGAGAAATGTAATATCAAAATAGTTACTGAATTGGATGTTGGTATGAGGACATGGGCTAAAATTAATTTTTTGATCTGTTGCCACAGTATACTGCTGGGGATGCTGCTCTTTCTTGAAATTTCTCTCCTCTTGCTGGCAAAAACAAGTGAGCTTCTTGTAAGAAGACAATGTGTATTTAATAGATAATAAGAATTATGTGCCTAGAAATGATTTGCTCTTTGGTTGCCTACAAAAGACAGAGCTGAACTGGGAAGTGCTTAGAAGCATGGAGGATTTCAGGAAATGCCTTTTATGTCCTAGTCTCACCACTGTGACCACGTTTCTTTCTTTCTTTCTTTTTTTTATTTGACAGGTAGAGTCATAGACAGTGAGAGAGAGAGAGAGAGAGAGACAGAGAGAAAGGTCTTCCTTCTGTTGGTTCACTCCCCAAATGGCCGCTATGGCGGGCACTGCGCGGATCCGAAGCCAGGAGCCAGGTGCTTCTTCCTGGTCTCCCATGCGGGTGCAGGGGCCCAAGCACCTGGACCATCCTCCACTGCCCTCTTGGACCACAGCAGAGAGCTGGACTGGAAGAGAAGCAACCAGGACTAGAACCAGCGCCCATATGGGATGCCAGCGCCGCAGGCGAAGGATTAACCAAGTGAGCCACAGCGCTGGTTTCTGCCTTCCTTTCTTCATCGTTTCTTTCCTCACTTATATTTAGCTGATGATGCTTTGCTGAACGGTACATGTCTTGTTAAGCCACCTTCAACTCTCCCTGGAACAACACAAAAACTTGATTACTAGCTTTTAGTGAAGCCCTGTAAGCTACTGACACTAGTCAATCATCCATTACTTTCTAGAATGAACTAATCCTGCAGAGACTATTGATAGCCAGAAGCTATATATTAGGTTCCAGATTTCCTAGCAGAGAGAAGTTGAAATTTTAGCATTGGTTAATCAAGAAATAGGTACTGACAATTGACTTGATTTTGGTTATGTTTCTAAATGATTTTGTATTATATTAAAACATAGCCAAATAATAAACTTAAATAACATATAGTTAAGCACTAATTTATTCATCTTATTAATCACAACCAATGTGGCATTTGGAAAATAGTTGTGTGGTCACGTGGTGGAAACTGTCTTCATTGGGTCTCAGATGTCAGTTAGTGTGGGGAGTAGAAGACCTTTGCAAGAACTTGCAAGGCCCCTAAAGGCTGAGCATTGCAGACTGGAACTTTGAAATTCTCCCTTTCCAAGGCATGTTTAGTTTGGTGCAATGTCTCCAGATATGCTTTTGTACCAAGTGTTTCTTTTCATGGAAAATGGGGGTTGGTGTTGTGACATAGCAAGTAAAGCTGCGACCTGCAATGCCAACATCCCATATAGGTGCCGATTCGAGTCCTGGCTGTTCTACTTTCAATCCAGCTCCCTGCTAATGCACCTGGGAAAGCATTGGAGAATGGCCCAAGCATCTGACCTGAAACTATAACTTTATTTTTAAAATGAATTCTGCTGCTTTTTCCTTCACCTTATGCTACCTAATGGCTCACTCCTTCCTTCCCTCCCTTCCTCCTGAAATCAAGATTACCCTCTCTAGGGAGAAGCTTTTTGACTGTGCAGTTTTTTGCTAACACAGACTGAAAGCAAATCTATAGGACACTGCTGATTATTTCAGGGAATTCATTGAAATCAACTGCTTCACATGACCATGCCTCCTAAATATTGTTCCATCAGAGGCCCCGTGGCCTGAGCATCACCCCTTTCAGATGCTTCCCAGGCCAGAGGGCCAGCTGGCAGGGGTCTGTTTTGCTTATCTCAGTGTGGGTTTTCACTCTGCCCGGGACATGTGCTAATTCTGAATCATAACCTAGCCTACAACCTGGGGGTACACAAGGGATGTTTGAGAGAAAATGCAACTTGTTTGGTGAACTGAAAACCAAGTAGCTCATGTTTGATTAAACATTAAAAAAAGAGAGAAAGAAGAGCTCTTGCAAAGGAACTAAGTGACACACAAGCCTCTTTCTGTGCTTTGGGGCAGTCAGGGTATGGAAGGGCAGTGGGAGGGGGTGGAATTGTAGAGAAGGCCGCTGAGTTTATTTTTAACACCACAAGTTAAAGGCATACTCTGTGTTCTTTCCTTTCAAAAACAGGCTTTTAACCTCTCGAAGGGTTTTGAGTCTATTCTGCCTGTGGGGGTAATACCCTGCTTGCAGCTGGCAACTCCTACTGGCTCGTTGCCCCTTACTGGCTTCCTCCAAGTACTTAGACCCATGGAAAAACCCCAGAATTTCTGTTCAGAGAGCCCCTGATTAGCATATGCACACACAGAGTAAAAACCTTGGCTGTTTACCTGAAACTCCAGTTTTCCAAACCTTGTTGTTTTGGAAAAAGTCCTCTTTTTAAAATATTTGGGGTGTGTAACATAATGGATATAGGTTTCATGAAGTCTGTCATGATAATTTATTCATTGCATGTTATGAGCAACACAGCACGCATGCACATATGCCAATAGAATCAGATGTGTGGGAATGGGTATGATAATAAGCCAATGATGGATGGCTTATGAGGTGCCAGCCTCTGTCCTTCATGTGGTTACTGCTCAGAATATGTTCTGAGGGGAGGGAATGATAGTGTCCCATTTTATAGAGGAAGAAACTTTGGGCTCAGGTTTACTGAGTCATCTATGGAGATTGGATACTCAGGGAGTGAGTGTTGGGAAGGGATCAAAACTCGGGCAGTTATGCAGCTTAGGTGCTCTGCTACCTCAGACAGAAAGTGCATAAATTAGAAAAGCAGCCCTTACTTTAAGACATTTTTGCTTCCATGTGTTGGAAAGTTATCAGCCATACTGGTTTTGGTTAGAACATGACATTTTGATGCCAGATGTCAGAATAAATATGAGCACACAAATCTACAGTGTTAATGCACCATTACATATGATATTCGTGTGCAGTGCACAGCTCACACAAAGGCCCATGGTGGTCCCAGGTACACACACACACAGACACACACACATGTATTCCTATAAGCATGGAAGTTTATGAAGCAAAAAGACTGCTTAGTTTAAAAAGAGAGAGACCTAGTCTTTCGTCTTTTTCTTTGTGTGTATGTGTGTATCTACATTCAGTTTTTAATGTTTTAGATATTTTTATCAGTTTTTATTTTCCAGTTTTTTAAAGAGAAATATACAGTACATCAACATTGCCTATGGTCATTATACTGTGCAATAGAACGCAAGAACTTCTGGCTCCCATCTAGCTAAAACCTAGTGCCCACCCAGCAACCTTATCCTATCGGCTCCTCCTCATTGCCCTCCCCAGGCTCTGGTAAGCAATATTATACTTTTATTTTATTGTATGAGATACTTAATTTTTATAAAGATTTTTTTTAAACTTATTTGAAAGGCAGAGTTACAGAGAGAGAGAGAGAGAGAGAGATCGATCTTCCATCCACTAGTTGACCCCCGGAATGGATACAATGGCCAGGGCTGGGTCAGGCTGAAACCAGGAGCTAGGAGCTTCATCTGGGTCTCCTACATGGGCACAGGGGTCCAAACACTTGGGCCATTTTCCTCTGCTTTCCCAGGTGTATTAGCAGGGAGCTGGATTGGAAGTGGAGCTGCTGGGACTCAAACTGGTACCCATATGGGATGTTGGCACTGCAGGTGGTGGCTTAAAGTGAGCCCTATTACTTATTTTTAAAACCCCAATTATGAGTGAAATCATGTAATATTTGTCTTTCTGTGCTTAATTTATTTAACTTAACATAATAACCTCCAGCTCTATTCATGTTATTGCAAATGACAAGATTGCATCCTTCTTGATGGCTAGGTAATATTCCCATGCATACATGTACCACATTTTGTTTATCCAGTCATTGGTAGATAGATACTTAGGTTGTTTCTATCTCTTGATTATTAGGAATGGTGCTGCAGTAAACACAGAAGTGCAGATGTCTCTGTAACAGATTTCATTTCCCTTGGATATATCCCCACTAATGGGACTGCTGGATTATGTGGTAGATCCATTTTTAGATCTCTGGGGAGCCTCCATACTGTTTTCCACAATGGCTGTACTAATTTTCTTTCCCTCCAACAGTATGTCAGGGTTCCTTTTGCTCCACATCCTTGCCAGCACTTCTTATCTTTTTTTTTAAATTAATTTATTTATTTGAAAGTCAGAGTTACACAGAGAGAGGAGAGGCAGAAAGAGAGAGAGAGAGAGAGGTCTTCCATCCTCTGGTTCACTCCCCAGTTGGCCCCAATGGCTGGAGCTGTGCAGATCTGAGGCCAGGAGCCAGGAGCTTCTTCCAGGTCTCCCACATGGGTGCAGGAGCCCAAGGACTTGGGCCATCTTCTATTGCTTTTTCAGGCCATAGCAGAGAGCTGGATCGAAAGAGGAGCAACTGGGACCAGAACCGGCACCCATATGGGATGCCAGTGCTTCAGGCCAGGGTGTTAAACCACTGCGCCACAGCGCCAGCCTCAATCTTTTTTTTTTTTTTTTTTTGGACAGGCAGAGTGGACAGTGAGAGAGAGACAGAGAGAAAGGTCTTCCTTTTGCCGTTGGTTCACCCTCCAATGGCCACCGCAGCCAGCATGCTGCGGCCGGCATACCGTGCTGATCTGATGGCAGGAGCCAGGTACTTATCCTGGTCTCCCAAGGGGTGCAGGGCCCAAGCACTTGGGCCATCCTCCACTGCACTCCCTGGCCACAGCAGAGAGCTGACCTGGAAGAGGGGCAACTGGGACAGAATCCGGTGCCCCGACCGGGACTAGAACCCGGTGTGCCGGTGCCGCTAGGTGGAGGATTAGCCTAGTGAGCCGTGGCGCCGGCCTCTTCTAGTAATTTCTAAGTTTCATTTCTCACATTTAGTTCTTTTATCCATTTTGAGCTTATTTTTGTACATAGTGAGAGATAAGGGTCTAGTTTAATTATTCTACATGTATCCAATTTTCCCAGCACCACTTGCTAAAAAGATTGTCCTTTTTCTAATGCATATTCTTAGCTCCTTTGTCAAAGATCAGTTGGCTGTAGTATATGGATTTACTTCTAGGGTCTATATTCTATTCCAGTGTTTATGATTCTGTTTCTGTGCCAATAACATGCTACTTTAATTACTATAGCCTTGTAATATATTTAAAGTCAGGTGGTGTAAAGCCTCCTGCTTTGTTCTTTTGACTCAAGATCTCCTTGGCTGTTTGGGAACTTTCGTGGTTCCATACAATTTTTAGTCATGTTTTTCCTAGTTCTCTGAAAAAAAAAATGCGGATTTTGATAGTGATTCATTAAATCTGTAAATTTCTTTGGGTAGTAAAGACATTTTAATGATATTGATTCTTTTTTTCTTTTTTCTTTTTCTTTTTTTTTTTTTTTTTTTGACAGGCTGAGTGGACAGTGAGAGAGAGAGACAGAGAGAAAGGTCTTACTTTTTGCTGTTGGTTCACCCTCCAATGGCCGCCGCGGCCGGTGTACCGCGCTGATCCGATGGCAGGAGCCAGGAGCCAGGTGCTTCTTCTGGTCTCCCATGGGGTGCAGGGCCCAAGGACTTGGGCTCATCCTCCACTGCACTCCCTGGCCACAGCAGAGAGCTGGCCTGGAAGAGGGGCAACCGGGACAGAATCCGGCGCCCTGACCGGGACTAGAACCCGGTGTG